AACACAACACATAGGACACAGACAGTTGTGCAATCTTCACCACTTTCCTGCATACACTTTGTTGTCTGAAGCAGTTATAGATGAAAGAGGAGAGGATCAAAGTGTCCTTTTACCAGTGGATCAGAGACGTCATGCTGAAAATGTGCACGTCTGCTACAAGCTAAGTTTTGAAAGCAAACACGAAGCTGTAGCGTCCATTGACAAAAAGAGATTAGTTCACTACTCCTGTCCCACGTAATCCGCTTCAACTCCAAGCCGCGACTCCCGGTTCCACATCCGCATCGGCGCTCTGCGCTAACGCTCCTTACTTCTCATCGTCGGCTCCTCAAGCCTTGCATCCATCCAGCCGCAGACCGTTCAACAGCACCGATCTCTCCGCTGAACAAAACGGGGCTGTGAAAATGCTGCCCATTACAGGCGCAAGACACAAGCGCCCCTGGAGCTGTCCAGCAACGACAGTCAAATGGCGCCGACATTCCTCCCAATCAAAAACAGTGCTGGCATACCCATGCTGCCGAGAAGGCAAAACCACCAAGCACCGAGTCTCCTCCTTGATGAATGTCGTGGCCAAAAATCGCTGAAAACAGTCCACACGACGTAACAACAAACACAAAGTGACAAAACAAACAGAAAAACAACAAAAAAAGCAAGGCTCATGAGAGCACTTGCAGATGGCTGCCTACTCGGGCGCCATCTTGGACTGACTCTAATAATAAATAAAAATAAATAAACTGACTAATAATAAATCAATATCATCCCAGGGGCCACTGAAAACATTCTCGCGGGCCGGATTTGGCCCGCGGGCCGGCACTTTGACATAGGTGCACTAGACGCTCCGCATTATAAGGCGTCCTGTCCATTTTGGAGAAAATTTAAGACTTTTAATGGCGCCTTATAGTCGTGAAAATACGGTTTTCTGTTTTTTCAATTTTACTTCCCTTTCCTTCTTTCCTGTCATATGGTCACCCTTGACTCCGGGATGAGTTGACAACTTTTTGCCATGGTTCACAATGCTGTTGCAGAGCCACTGCCTCCAAAGGAGATGCCACCAGCTGCCAGCTGTAAATTTTCAAGTCTAGGTCATATCGCAAATTGCTCGGTGCACCCAAATTGATGTTGAACCTCGACGGGCTGATTTAAATGGCACGACTTAGTACCTCTATTCCTACCTATTGTGCTACAAGCGACCGTCACGACTTACGTTTCAGTCCAAGTTAGTCAACACAAAATATCAAGTTATACTTTTGGATGCAAGCCGGCTTATAACAATTGACTTCCACCTGCACCATTCACTAATTTTGCCTTAAATACAGATCCAATTATTGCTTCATATGTAATTATAATTGAGTATTGGTGGAAAACAAAATGTTGAGTATATACTGAATGTTATGTCTCACTTGCTTCCAACCCAAAAATCAACTTTAGCATGTGTGAATGTGCATTTCAACCTGCTGCAAATTCTGACCTTGCCACATTGTGCAACTGTGATTCAAATTTAGGTCAATAACCTGTGGCCGAAATTTGGCCACTCAGGAAAAGTAGTTGACAAACCCTGAACACTGTCCCGTAAGCTTCGGCCGGATCAGTTTGTGTTCCGCATTCCGAAAGTCTCACCTTTATTCTCCTCCATAGGGGCAACTGGGATCTGCCTGCTTTTCACCACTTGAATTCCCTTCCAATAGTTGATATCAAAGAGGAAGTTCCACGGCAGGGGCAAGCCATATTGACCTGAAGCACATGCATCGTCCACTCATGTATGTTATTGTCATAACACCAAAGTCAAATCAGTTTTTGCCGAAATTCGAGTTGCACATACAGTACAAAGGCAATTGAATATTGCGCTCCAGTTTTAGTATGTCAGGCCAGCCAAGTGTGCCGCCACGAGGATTACTTCCGACAGCGAACTCAAAACAGGGTCCTATAGTCCAAGTACTAGGCAGGCAATTCATTTTTCAAATGCGTTTCTCAATCAAGCCTTATTACCGAGCATTTAAGGACTGTCAAGTTTCCAAGTCGCTGTCGGATAGTTGACCTTGCTCGCTGCTGTACCGAAAGCTTTGATTTTTAGACCTCGCTATCATTTGCAGTCCCTCTCGTTTTTCGTGGTTCCTTGTTTGTAAGTATTTTATGTGGTTTGCTGTTGGTCTTTTGTTTTGTGTTGTTGGACTCTGAACATTTCGTTTGTGTGTCTTCAGTGTTTTTCCTTGTACGTTGCTTTTTGCAAGCGCGTCGAGTTTGCTTTTCCTGGCCCGTTTTGCCCAGTGCTTTCTGTTCGTATTTTTGTTTTGCCTGAGTCTGAATTGTTTGGGGTTGAAAAACATCATTCGGTTTGGTTCTAGCACCTGACATGGAACAGTCAGAAATAATCAGAAATTAAGGAGCCAACAGCATATTTTAATTTGATTTGTGATTGTTTAAGATGCCACTTTTTTTCTGAATCAGTGTTGGTTTTAGCAGGTAATGATTATTATACAAGTCTACTTGTGTGTTGCTACTACTGAAGCTTGTTATTAATACACGTGACAAAATATTTATTTATACTTCCTACATGCCATAGCCCAATAGCAACACCTGAAAACCAATTTCAGGTGCCCATATTGTAACATGAGACATTTGCAAAGAAAGACGGTACATAGAAAGAGGTTTCCACGTTTAATAACATACCTAACGTTTCTTTTACCAGGGCAGTAAAAGAGCACTCATACAGCTGGTTGAAAAAAATGGTACCGTTCCCTGTCGAGTAATGCTTTGTTTGAACGTGAAAACATCCTAGCTTACCGTAATAACCGATCAACCATTCCTCCATTAGGCTTTCTACCTTTCACGTCAACATTCACGACAATGTTTTTCGGTATGTTTTCTTTTGGCATATGTAACCAGGTGAACAATACTCTATTGTTGTAGTGAATGCTGCCTCAATTAATAAATGGAGCACAATCACAATAAAAGCAGCGTCGGATAATCTCATGGGAAATCTTGTGAGACTTGGACCACAAAGTGAAGGCAGACGAACGCTGAGCTGTGCTTGTTCAGACCTGATGTATTTGCAATCGGCATTGTAACCCGGCTGATATTAATAATAAAATATCGCCGTTTGGGAGTTTGGACAGCATCGCACGGTGAGTCATGTGAACAGCCGTGGAGCAGTGGAGATTAGTTGTTTTCCACGTGTTTCAGGCACATACAACATGCCGTAAAGTGCTCACAATCCAGTATTGTTGTCCATTTTTGTATTATTTTCTATTTGTTTGTCCCATTTGACATATCTCAGTCTTTCATTTTATTAATGCTGCCCATTTTCTATGTTCAGTATAAAGCCTTCATGAAAATGCTTTTGGATTGCAGGCCAGCTCAAAACACAGGTGAAGTGCGCCCTGTCATGGCCGGTTGTGTTCACTTTGACACATGATAGCGTCTCACTGTTAGCTTTTCTGCTCGAGCGCTCGCTGGCGGCCATTGGAAAAATTTTTAAACAGGCCGCATCCTAAAATAAACCACAGGGCTGAAAGCGTGTGACAAAAGCAGCAGCTTGCAGTCCAGAAATTTTGGTATTTTCTATTTTGCAAGATTTTGAGCTGGTTCAGACTAAATTTTGAGTCAATCAGATGAAATGAGCAAAATGCAATCATACCTGGAAAAACAGCTTCAATGTACCAGGCTGCTGCAGCATACATGAAGGCATCCACAAAAAACATCATGATAAATATTCCGAAGTTCAGTGAGATTTTCTCACTGACACTTGACCCTATAGTATTCCACTGGATCCCAATGCCTTGCGATTCAGAAGGATAGAAACACTGACAGGCAAATCCAAAGGCCGCTGGAGACAGAAAGCTCTGAGAAAAGTAGTGAGAGAAAATGTTAGAAGGTGTATTTTTGAGTAAATGTGATGCATTCTGTTGTAAAAACATCCATCCATCCATCCATTTTCTGTTCTGCTTTATCCACACAAGGGATGCGGGGGGATGCTGGAGCCTATCCCAGCCAGTTGGCGGAGGACACCTTGAACCACTTGCCAGCCAATTGCAGGGCACACAGAGACGAACAACAGTCCGCGCTCACACTAACACCTCGGGACAATTTAGAGTGTTCAATCAGCCTGCCATGCATGTCTTTGGAATGTGGGAGGAAACCGGAGTACCCGGAGAAACCCACACAGGCCCGGGGAGAACATGCATACTCCACACAGGGAGGCCGAAGCTGGAAGTGAACGCGGTACCTCTGCACTGTGAGGTTGACGCGCTAACCACTGGACCACCGGGCCGCCCATTGTAAAAACAAGACATTCATATTACTTACAGCAAAAATTGTTGCTGCCTTGGTGGTGGTGGTCAACGTCAGAGACAGTAAGGGTGGTATGTAGAGGCTTAAGTATATCAGCCCCCCACATACAGCGGCCAGGTTGGCCTTGGAGAAGAAAGTACTCATGAGGAAACACAGCATGATGTTGGCGGTAGCAAATGCCACGAGGAAAAAAATCAAAACACCCAGACTGGTGAATTTCACGATTCGACCCCACTAGAGACAACAAGAAGGAAACACGTTATTTCAAAGAAAAGTTGACTCTGCATGGGCAGAAGTACACACTCAATAGAGGGATTAAACGACTACGTCTTGTCGACTATGGATTTCAGATTTCAATTCCAGTCTGTTATTTTGTCAAATACATTTGATGCATTGAGTGACAATTGTTCTTGCCTTAAGAAGAGCAGCCAGGGGCACAATAGACACCAGAGAAGGTACAAGAGAGGTGATGAACCAGCTGAGCCACAGTGTTCCTGAACTCAGACCCATCAATTTCATGGTTTCTTTCATCCTGGATTCCTTTTCGAAAACCACATCCCGAATGGTCCTCATCACAGGATAGATCCAGGCCAGTGCCATGGCAACTGGCAAAATCACCGGGTGTAATATTCGCATTCTATGAGAACCAGATGTAATTTTAGTTTAATCGAACAGCACATGCAACCGGGAAACAAAAACAAACCAAATAAAAAAATAGTCCAAATAAGTTAAATAAAATACACCAACCATAACTTAAACAACTTGCTTAAAAAAAAAGTTAAAAAAAAAATTCAATTGTAAATTTGCATTTACTGTGTCATGTTTTTACACGCAAAGGGAAATTGTAAAGTGGAATTCCAACCACATTTTTTTTGTTTTTTTAACAAGAAGAGTTAAGTTTAATTTTCACCATAAATGGTTATGTTCTCCTCAAATATTAATTAATGCAGTAACAAAGAGTAGAATTATGTGTTCTTGTAACACACTTGTTGTTTCACTTCGAGTAACTTACTTTGTCGTCAGAGGCCAAAGTGTTGTTTTCCCGGAACAGAAGTTTATGAATTAAAAAGTATTTCAACTTAGTCGGATGTGTAGAAAAAAACACACTGGCATGAAGATGAATATTTTACAACCCTTTGCTGTTTGTACAAAATGACAGTGGCAAGAAGTAATCCTGCTTTGTGGGAATAATTTATACGGTATTTACAAAAACATTGTTGCTTCATTTGATTTAACATATGTAACATTTAACAGGATACAAGTATGGTAATAAAAATGAAAGATGGAGGAAGCAAAAGTAAGACATTATGCACGAAAGTTATGTAAGGTAAGCAAAAGAGTACAAATGACTTTTGTAAACCAACAGAAGTGGAGTAATTAAAATAAAACAAAGTGGAGTAATTAATATAAAACAAATGTATGTTAATGTTAAACAAAATCAAATAAGTGTACAGTGATCCATCGCTACTTCGCGGTTCATTTATCGCGGGTTCAGTGAATTGCGGATTTTTTCAAACAAAAATTATTATTATTATTTTTTTAAATATACATGGTGTACAGTATTGTATATGTTGCTCAATGTGACTCGCTGTTGTTTTGCAGCTTCTCGCGGACCGTTTGCGGACTTTTGCGGACTTAAAAAATATATATATACATACATACATACATACACACACACATATATATATATATATATATATATATATATATATATATATATATGGCCTCATAGCTCAGTGGTTAGACCCCTGGTTTACGAGTTCAAGTCTCACTGAGGCCTTCAAGCGGCTGGATAGCTCAGTTGGTAAGGCACCGGTTTGGCGTACGGGAGGCGGGGGTTCGAATCCCAAAAAATGAGCACATAACACCATCTGGGGAACCAGAGCACCTTGACGAAAAATGAGCTACTGGAACAAAGCGGAGATGGGCGAGATGCGATAACATGGCTCTGTTGGAATGCTACTACTCAAGCGACCCTAGTCAAGAGGGGTTACATGCAGAGAATGCGGGCTGAATGGTTACTTTGAAACCCACAGTCACGGTTGACCACGAAACAACTAGTAGCTCAGTGTTCCAATATCCACAAACGGCAATTGCTGTCACAACTTGAGATTGACGGGGTACAACGTGATGAATGAAATGCTGAGCAGGGCAGCAACTGACCTGAAAGCTAAGATCATGGCGAGAATGAAAGCTGGGCAACCAAGAAACCGATGACAACGGCTATGTGAAGTACCACCTGAAAGTCTCATGGAAAGTGTGAATGCAGCACTGAGGGCGATCCCAACCATAACGATCACGGAGAGAGGTGTGATGAAAAGGCCGATACCTGAGAGGTACATCCAGATGACCATACCTGAAGCACTCGAAACTGCCAAACAAAGGCTTCAAGTCTTGTCCAGCAGCCTAAAGAGGTACACGAAAGAGAATGATGCCAGACGAATAAACAGGCAGTTCGCAACACAACCTGCGAAAGTGTACGCGTGTAGTACGCGTGTACGCAAAAGTGTAAGTGTTAGGGTCCTAACAGCAGAGCTCACCCACCAAGACTGGAAACTGAAAGGTACTGGAAAGGCATATGGGAGAAGGAGGTTGCACATAACAGCAGTGCACAATGGCTGGTGACCCTGAGAGAGGAGCACAGCAACCTCCCTGAACAGAATCCAGTTACCATAACAGTGGCAGACATACAAGAAAGAGTCTCAGATATGAAAAACTGGACAGCACCAGGCCCGGACATGGTCCACACCTACTGGCTAAAAAAACTCACAGCACTCCTTGAGCGCCTCGCAGCGCAAATGAACCATTTGCTGAGGGATGGGACTCACCCAGGATGGCTAACCGAAGGGTGAACGATCAAAGGGTGCAGTCCCATCCAACTATTGGCCAAAAACCTGTCTCTCCACAACATGGAAGCTCATGTCAGGCATCATTGCGGCTAAGATAAGTGGACACATGGATCAATACATGAGCAAAGCACAGAAGGGCATTGGTAGAGATACCAGAGGAGCCAAACATCAGCTCCTGGTTGACAGAACAGTCGCAGAAGACTGCAGGTCCTGACATACCAACCTGTGGATTGATTACAAGAAAGCCTATGACTCGATGCCACACACATGGATCACTGAATGCTTGAATGTATAAGGTGAACAGGACCCTAGGAGCCTTCGTTGCGAACTCGATGAGGATGTGGAAAACCACACTTGAAGCCAATGGCAAGCCACATACCCATCAAACGTGGCATATACCAAGGTGATGCACTCTCCCCACTGCTATTCTGCATAGGACTGAACCCCCTAAGCCAAGTAATCGCCAAAAAAGGCTATGGATACCGCCTCAGAAATGGAGCTACGATCAGTCACCTCTACATGGATGACATAAAGCTGTATGCTAAGAGCGAAAGGGACATAGACTCCCTGATCCACACGACCAGGATCTACAGCAGTGACATCGGGATGTCATTCGGGCTTGAGAAATGTAGTCGGATGGGAACTAACAGAGGCAAGGTGGTCCGCACTGAAGGGGTCTTAATCCCTGAAGGAACAATAGCAGACATTGAGGACAGCTACAAGTACCTCGGTATACCACAAGCCAATGGCAACCTCGAACTGGCAACAAGGAAAGCGGCTACGGCCAAATACCTCCAGCGGGTGAGGCAAGTCCTAAGAAGCCAGCTCAATGGCAAGAATAAGACCCGGGCAATAAACAGCTATGCCCTGCCAGTGATCAGACGCCCCGCAGGAATAATAATGTGGCCAAAGGAAGAGATTCAGACCATGGACGTTAAGACCCGAAAGCTTCTAACCATGCATAGAGGGTTCCATCCCAAATCCAGCACCCTGAGACTGTACACAAGCTGAAAAGAAGGAGGCCGGGGACGAGTGAGTGTGAGAGCCACTGTCCAGGATGAAACATCCAAGCTCCATGAATACATCAAGGAGAAGGCTCCAA